ACCAACAACAGGAAGAGTCTGTAGTTACAGCCTTATGTTCATCAATGTTCATGTTTTATGTACATTTCTATAACTGTAGAAATAACGCCCATTAGTGACTCGCACATACAGACAATCAAGAAATGTTTGAAATTTTTAGAAAAATATGCAAAGAGTGATTTTTGAACAAATAATTGTGAAAACAAATTTTCTCTATTTTGTCTGTAACTTTTGGTTTGCAAGTTGTTACAGTCTTATGGTACTGATTGGAGCCTGGAGGTCAGGGGTCGTGGGTCATAGTCACATTAGACGAAGTTGTTGTTCAAATAAACCATGTTGTTCTGATTTTTTTTTAAACAAAATGTCCAAAACAAATTACAGGGCGGGCTGAATTTGGGCCCAGAGCCTTATTGTTTTTACATCATTGTCTTTCTTTTTAATGTGAAGTTAAAATGCTAGGGCTAAACCACTGTTTAACCTGCGACGACTGAGTAAATACCAGACAGTGAAGGCTAACGTATTGTCTGTAAAGTGAAATAGTTCAGATTGGATTAATCGATTTGACTCGGTTTATTATTAACATCGAACCGTTTTCTAAACATAGCTTCATAAATGTGTCTGTTTCTTGTGACCCTGTGTTTTTTCCACCGAAAAACAACAACGATTTAAGGATGTTTTCTTTTCCTGTCCTGGCCACAAAGTTTGGTCATTTTTCCACAATAATCGCCAGATTTATCGACCAGGACAATAACCGCGAGTTCTACAACCTGTGGATGTGGGCAGCCACTAAATCGCGAATAAATTGATAGATTTGATTGTGAAGAAAATCAAGTCATGTAGAACCCAGAGGGTTTGTTTCCTTGTCCATGATCTATTGCTCTGTATTCTCTGCCTCCATAAAGACGTACGACCTTTAGAGTTAAATTAACTGTATTCTGCACATTTAAAGCCTGAGCTGAGGCAGGTTCGAGGCTACCACCCCTGCTGGAGCTTTTGTGTGCAGCAGGCAAACCACACATAAGTCACATCCTACACTCAACCTGGAATTTTCTCCCTTTTTTCCCCCCTCTCCCCTAAACTAATCCCACCTCCCTTTTCCTCCACTTGAGCTCCCACCCTCTGCACACATTTCAGGAAACTCACTTATTTTGCTCGCATAGATGGAGTGGAAGAATCAGCCCCCCCCAAGAGTAGCCTCTATATGGGCCCGAACAGGGATTTGTAACAAGCTGCACATTCTATGGCGGAATGTGCCACATGCAGCATACTTCACACCTGCGCTGTGAATAGCAGCTCTCTTTCAGTGTGTGATACGCCTGTTGGCCTTCTCTCCATGCAGCTGCATGGAGGCGGCAGCAGCAGCAGCATTAGTAGCAGCAGCATTAGCAGCAGCAGCAGCAGCATTAGCAGCAGCAGCAGCTATTTGGTCTCTTTTGATCCCGGTTCTCCTTCACTTCATCTCTGTGTCTGTAGTCTGTTAACTATCGCAGCTCTGATGACTTCTTTTGTCCAAACTTGTTGCTGTTGCTACATATGGATCTAAATATTTTCTCAGTTTGTTCAGGAAGAGAAGTCTGTGTTTATGTGAAGAGAGCGGAAACGCAGCCCTTCAATACAAATGTTTGCTCTTCTTTATTCAGTCGAAATGTAAACAGTAACCGTTTAACGTTGATTTTGCTGCGATGAAAGGTTGAATATGGTTAAATACATATTTTCAAAGCTGGTATTTTATTGTATCAATTCGTAGCTAATGCTATTTATTATTGTTATTATTTCAAACTGTATATAAACGAGCTGAGTAACTAAAAGTCTGTCCAAAGTAAAAACTCAACACCAGTCCTACTATAAGTCACAATATACTTAAAATAAAGCAAATTGGGGATTCCAAGAATGATGCCAAAGTTGACTCAACACCAGTGCTACTATAAGTCACAATATACTTAAAATAGCCAAAAGTATAGGTAAATAATCGTTAAAAATTGTAAAATAGCAAAAAGCTAAAGGTTACTGATAAGAAGTAACTTATTAAAACACTACTGTCAGCCCAGAAATGTCCTTTAATCACAGCAAAAGTCGCTAATGTTAGCTGAGTGGCTAGCCATAGCAAATTTATGTAGTTTATTATTTCTGATTTTTATTTGTAATAACTTTATGAATTGAGGGACAATATATTAAACAAAATATATAAAATGTTTTAAATAGTCTTGAGGTTTTGGACTTGAGTCCAGGTCTGATAAAGATGACACCGAGAATAAATGGTTCTACACTCCAGGTACTAGACCCTTTTTTTGGCGATTTTTTAGTCGATCTGATGTCGACCAATCCATCGAATTTGAAGTCGAGAAACAAGTTTTAACCTTGGATGAAACGAGGAAATGTTGAAGCTGCGGTAAAATAATAATAATAATAATAATCTTAGCGATGATATTCTGGAGGTTTTATACTGGTAGTGGTCCACAGACAGGGAAATGGAGCGTTTTAGGACACAAAACCCTCCCACTGGTTTAAACCCCAGCCGTAATGGCCAAAGTGCGTCGGTGCACTCGACGGAGGAGCCACTGTATCATCATATATCAACATAACACACATGCAAATGCCGGCAGCGGTATGAATCATTGCTCTGTCTGCACTATTTCACACGTCAGATGGAGGGGAATAGACGGGGGAAAGTGCGCACTTTGAGCCTCCACATCACGCGTGTGGATCAGAAGACTTTTGGGTCATTTGGCCATCTCCCGCAGGAAAACACATTAGGCCCGCTCATATTTACATACTCTTTAGTATTTGTCAAACATCCATAAATTACAAACTAATGAAATGTTCGACGGTCCTTGGAGATGGAGCTAATGAAGACGCAGACTGACTTTTTTTTTCTTCTCCCTACCAAGCCCTCTCTCCAGGCCCCCCTCCCTCCCCTCATCCTTGGTGCTGCTGCAGGTTTTGACACATCTTTGTTATAGCTGTAATAGCATTGACTCCATCACGCTCTATTAACTATTATTATAGTGATGTCAGGGCCACCGCTGACACGTTACGACACCAGGATCACCTGCTGGATGGAGGTGGGCGCGCCGTGGGACATCAATGGCCTCCATCCATAACGCCAGCAGCCTGTGTAAAAAGCCCTCACATTTGAAGATGTATACATAAAAAAGTGAGTTTTACAAGAGTGTAAATTTCTCCGCAGCAGCATGCGTTCACACACTTCATATAAATGTCCTTTTGAATGCGTTTTCCCTCGTGTCTGACAATGTATTCCATTTATTTTAATATACATGTTTATCACTTTGACAGAAAAGTTTCCATCCTGCGTGAACACAAAGATCCAAATCCTGGCCCGGGGCAAATTGTGGTACACGCAGACTTTATTATTAGGTCCATATTATTATTATTATTATTATTATGCTACTTTGTTTTTTTTGGAGCGGGTGTTTTATTTAGTAAATATGTTATTAGATGCATTTTTCTTAGCTATTTTTTTTTCTTGGGTAGCTTTTCGTTACCCTTGTTGTATTTTTGGTGAGTTCAAACTATTTCCTGTTTAAATGTTTATTATCTTTCAGATTTTTATTTATTTCTTTATTGTTTTCAAGCCTAATATATTTTTCTTATTTTGTTTTTGTTCTAACTCTTTCTTCTCTTTTTTAAATCAATATTTTGGTCATTTTTAGTAGAGTTAAACATTTCTTTGTTTACTTTTTGGTTTTAGGATAATTTTTTTTCTTTGTTTTTTTTCTTTATATTTTTAGCCATAACTGCTTTTGCTGTTTTGCTAAGGTAAGTTATATCTATGCTAACTCGTTGCTCTCATTTTTTTAAAATTGTTTTTGTTGTCAAGTTTTATAAACTTCCAGCACCGTTTTATTACTCATTTGGTCATTTTATAAATTCTGTCTAACTTTTGGTTCATTTGTTTCGATATCTATTCTGGAGCTCGATAAATAATAAAAACAAACCCCACACTTTCCTAATGTAGCGCAGTTTTACAGATGAAAAACATGAGTAAGATGTAACATTTCAGTGAGATATTGTTGTTGACATGTATTAGAAGGTCCTTTGTAGAAACCTACCCTAATTGGATTAGCTTTGATTACAGTGCCTTTCACGTCTATGACGCACTTTCATTTATAAAGTTCGTAAAATATAGTGTTAACATCACAGGGGGCGGGGCTGGTAGACCCTGTAGGGGTTTTTATTTACTTATTTATTTACTCCATTCTTGATTCTAATTATGTTCTATTACTTTGCAAAAAGCCGGAAAAAAAAAAAGAAAAGAATCACGGCTCCGCAGATTACTTTGAAATTCAATGAACGTGGACTCATTGTGGCTGTAACAATATCCACATCCTTGGAGACTGCGGTTATTTGACAGAGCAAATCCCCAGCGTGTCAAGGTTGTCATATTCACCCCCCCCCCCCCCCCCCATCAACCCCCCATGTCCACATGCAAATACGCAGTCGTAATCAGATGCAGCAGCATGACGCGTTTATTACTTTGTCAATCATCCCGATGCCACTGTATTGAAACAAAGCGCAACCACGTCCGCTAATAGAATTAAAGAGAAGCCCCTTCAGCGGCAGGTCGGTTCTGTTTGACGCCCGAAACCATATGTAAAGGCTCAGGAGTCGAGCTCGGAGGGTCAGGGGCTCTTTATGAGGTAGGAAAAAAACAAAAAAAAACACCGAGCGCCAGCATTCAATTATGAGAAACAAATGGACAAATAAATAAACAAACGGATAAACTAATGAAAACACGGGTCGCTGTAGAGTAGAAGCTAATGGTTAGCTTCAAAAGAGTCAATAACCGTCAATAAGTCAATAGGCAAAGACAAATATCCACGATACAGCGAAAAAATAAAAGGTGCACGAAGTTACCGAAGCCTATTTGAAAATATAATTGACTAAGTTATATACACTACGTAAGAAAAAGCTAACCAATGGATTGATACATTACTGCAAGTTGACGAGCAACGGCAAATAAATACTATTGGAAATAATCAAAAGATGACTAAATTGTTATTTAGTTATTTAGTTAGCTAGTTAGTTGGGTTTAAAATAACTAAAAGAAAGCCAAAAAAAAAAAAGAATCAATAAAAACTAACCAGGCCTTAGCCAAACAGCACTAGCCTGTTAGCCACAATGTTAGCTTTCTCAGAGCTAACGTTGCAAAAAAAAAAAAAAAAATCGATAAAATATCAGCCAAACTTAGTTAAATATTAGCCAATAATTCCCCTTTAGGGAAATATAACCAAACATAAAAGTTGCTATGGATGGATGAATATTTTGCATCTTATTATTATTATTATTATTATACTATTTTTGGTACATAAATTGATTTTAAATTTAAATTTCTGTCTTTTCGAAATAGCTGAGCAAAATAATTGAAATCAAATGAATAAATGTCTCAGCTTTGATCCTAACCTACACATTTCAGCTGAAGAGGTAAAGTGTACGTTTACTTCAATAAAGGCCCAGGAAAAGTTCTTAGTTCTTATCAGAGGACACATCAGGTGAAAACAGTGCAGGAACGATCCCTGTTTGTGTCATTTCCCATCTCACAGTGCTGCACAATCCAAAGTAAACCATGCACGTGACTGATATGAACCTGGTGTGTGTATGTGTGTGCGTGTGAAGTGTGTTAAGAGCTGACAGGAAATCAACCTCTGCCAGTCCCTTCCCAACGTTAAGGCTGTCTAATTTCCAGGCATAATTAACTTTATGCTCAGAATCAATTGTTTCCTGTACACAGCCAGGGTCCAGGGCTGCAAGCGGTGAGAGGCCTATTTGAGCATGTGAGAAGGCAGGAAGCAGCCCTACCTGCCACTCATTAAGCCCACAAAAACTCAATACAAAGAGGGGGGAAGAAGGATTAGACCTGCTCGTTATACCTGCCGCGCAATTAACACTACTTATTCTTCCAATCCCTGTGTTCTAGAAATAATTGGACCAGCAATAATAACACACAAAAAAAACATGCACGGCTCCAATCGCCTGGATGGTGGAGAATATTTGTGAGCTCGATGATTAGAATAATAAAAATCATCATTTTATTACGCTCTTTGTCCTTTCACAAATTCGGCTTTGTCCCTCCCCCCCCCCCCCCCCCCCAGCGACTGCGTCTTTCTTGTTTATGTGTGTGTGTGTGTGTCCATTCACGACATTTTCTGTCATTAGTACTTATTATTTTAGGAACAGTGTAGTTCTAATGGGGAGGGAGAACACCGCGCTAATAAGACAGAGTTTTGTGTTGGAGGTTCAAGTGAGGATAAAGGTGTGGTTATGTCTAAGGTTACTTGTTATGTTAACTAAGTTATGGTTAAAGGTCAGGGGTGTGCTCTTAATATATAGGCAGCACACAATTATTGTTTTGTTTTTTTTTTTTGCTCGTTAAAAAAATTACAAACTCAAGGCCCGCGGGCCCAATGTGGCCCGCAATATAATTTTATGTGGCCCATGGAATAGAAAATATACTTTATAGTGGATATGTTGATTTTGTTACCCACCTTCCAGCATTTGGTTCAATAAATACATCAAGAGACATTATCACCTTATTGACCCCAAAACTTGACTAGCACGCCCCCTCCCTGTTGTTATTTAAAGTCGTTGACATTTCCTACTTTGCATGTGTACCGATGTTCTTAAAGACGTCACTAAATAAAATCCTACGTTATTGTGTCGTCATCCACAGAGCTGTAAACCTCCTTCTTTCCAAACCTCCGCTCTTTGAATGAACGAGTTTCATGTGAAAACTCCATTCTTATTTTTTTATAAGTTAAAAAGTTGAGTGTAGTACCAAATTCCAACAGCACTCTCAGAAAGTGCACCAATTATACATTATTTTCGGAGGAATGTTCTAATGGGAACCAAACCGAACGTGGTCCTAATGTGGCAGAACCTCATTTCTGAGGCTTTGGTTTAAAGTTCGCATGATTTAAATTGTACTTGTGTTGGACTTTGAACCAGTTATGGTTAACGTTAGAGAGAAGGTTCTGATTAAAGGCTGCTCAGATGAATGTGAGTCACCGCGGAGTCCTGACAAGAATAGCTGCGCGTGTGTGTGCGTGCGTGCTCGTGTGTTGCCTTCAAGGAACACTAAAGACTTTGCAGCTGATTTGTGGAGAGAGTTCTTCCTCTCTGTTCCTTCCTTTCATTTTACATGAATCAGGTAAAAAAAAAACCACCGTCGTCCTCCTCCTCCTCCTCCTCCTTCCCTTCTTCTTCTTCCTCCTCCTCCTGTAATAAGGCGGGTTATGGAGACAGGGTGGGGGTGAGGGGATGTGGGGGGGGTTACTGTTGTATAGCTGCGACCCTTTGTCCCCGTTGTGTTGTAGGTGAATCGGAGCACACTTGGACTGAAAGAGGACTTGACCTCTGCTGCCTTTCTGCCCCCTCCCCGCCCCCTCCTCCATCACCATCACCCCCCAAATCCACCAACACCATCTTTAAATGTTTGTCCAAAACCACAATTGTCTTTTGTGAGGGGACGCGCGCTGTCGTGACGTGTCTCATTGAGTGGATGGATGAGGCGGAGAAAAAAGAGACGTTGTTGACTCACATGTGTTTGGAAACTCAGAAACACCCGCCACACCCCACCCCCCCACCCAAAATGAACGTATCGTAATGAAAAGAAAAAAAAAAATTGTTTCCAGAAATCATCAGTCGCTCGATGACGTATACGTGTGCGTACAAATCCATTCAATCAAAGACTTTTACGCACGATTTTAATCATGTGCGTCTTCATCCTGGAGCCGGGACTCGTTTCCAAATGTGATTAATTCGTCGCCGCTGTGCCGCGGACACCTTTAAAACGCACCCACGGACCCCCGTCAAGACCCCCAAACGCGTGGGTTCTCGTGTAGTCAACGCGTTTCCATTCATGGGTCTGTACCTGCGTCTCTGCTGGATGGACACACGGGTCAGTGGAGCTCTCTGAGAGGCGCACGGTTCCCTCCTGGTTCCTGTCACTGCGCTCTCATTAGATGGCTGTAAACAAACACTGACCTACATTAACAATGGAGCGGCGGTGATTTAAGCCGCGGAGGTCACCGTGGTGGCACATTAACCACAATGAAGGCAACAAAACACACTACAGGCTGCAGGGCGGAGTGATATGTTTACGAACCCGTCAATCTTTGATACAAAAGAAAAAAGAAGTTTACAATTATACCAAAAATGTTTCGTTTTTCTCTTGCGTTTTTTTAGACATTTCTACAGTAATTGAAATATAAAGAAAATATTTTCTTTTAAAAATATTAAACTTTTTAGTATCACCTTTATTTTACAGGAAAATATGAAACATCGTCCAGTGGAATATTTCGAAATGACTGCAGTTAGAAAATGATTGTTGTTGTTGTTGTTGTTGTGGGTTTGGTCTAAACTCTTTCAGAAGTAAAGAAGCATGAAATCGATTAAAGTTGAAGCCAGAAAGAACTGGTTTATTTACCAGTCAGCAAGAAAACAAATTTATCTCCAAAACAACCTCAAAGTTATCCAACAATAAAAAAGCCCTTTAATACAAATATTCATCAAATGTTGACAACAAAATGTTAACCCTGAGGAAGCTTTACTTTTACTTTACTTTTTTTTTCAAATGTAAACGAACCCGAAAACAAGAACAAAAATTAAAGAAAATGACGAAACTAAAATAGAAATTTAATATAATTGCTAAGAATGATGATCAGAAATACGAAAAGCTCATTATCATTGTTGTAGTTGTTGCAGTAGTAAGAGTAAAGTGACGTCACAGCATACAATTGTTTCTCCTAAAATAAACTTCAAATGATAAATTATAAATTATTAAAAACCGTAATCAGTAAAACTCGGATATGACTTTTCTCCCAGACTGTGAACCAATGTGTCACCGTTCTTCAATCTAATAATAATAATAATAATAATAAAAATCTTGTTTAATCTACTTTCCTCCATTTTTAACTCCGTGTTAATCAACCTGAGGAGACAGAACCCTCTCTGTGTCTGGTTCTACTTCAGGTTCTCTGTCACTCTCTCAGTGTCTTCATCTCCGCTGCATTAACCCGCAGTAAACTGCAGGAGTCATAGGTGTAGAGAGGGAGGTGGAGCAGCAGCAGCAGCAGCAGCAGCAGCAGTGTGTTCATCCATCATGAGTGTGTGACAGCCAACACACAGACAGCAGAAGCCATTTTCCTCCTCCTCATCACCATGATGACGGCCGCCTTTCATTTCCCTTCACTCTGGTCTCAAACACACACGCGTTCACGGGGTTCGAACTGATGTTAATCTGGATTGGGTTTTTTTTTTTAGTTTGGATGAAGTGTTGGTCAAATCCACGCAGGAGCAAAAATCAATGAAACAAAAAGCAGCAAAAACATAGTACACGACACGTTGTACTTAGTATTATTAGAATTACTAAAATATTAATAAAAGTTATTTTGATTAAATTAAATTCTTTCCCCCCAAAAGATCTAATTTACTGCTCATCACACTGTAATGTTTACATTTTTCATGTGCTAACTCTTAGCTCTCCACCTATAGCTTTTTAAAAACCTTACCTATGCTCTGTGCTAATTGTTAGCCATCTCCTATTATACTTATACTTTATGGTATTTCTTCAGTTATTTGTTTTTTAAATTTTATTTCTACTCAATTATCATTTTTTCATTAAAAAAAAAATCAAACTTTTACCACGTTTTTCAACAACTTTTAGCCACTTTTGACTCTGGTTACTTTATGGTATTTCTTCAGTTGTTTTTTTTTATAATTTTATTTCTACTCAATTATAATTTTTTCATTTAAAAAAATCAAAATTTTCAACAACTTTTAGCCACTTTTGACGTTTCTTCCACTCTGCCTTTTTAATATTTAAAAATGTATCTGTCTTTAATAATCAGAGCTATTCTGCTCTGATTGTGTCCAACTTTAATTCTTTTTGCTTTCTTAGTTTTTATACTTTCTGTCTGTTAGATGTTCTTCATTAATCCTTCAGCTAACTGTTGCTGTTTGTTGTTGTTAGTTTTCTTTTGACACATTTTTAATCATTTGGAAACGACACATAAACTATTTCACTTTTCTGTCCAACTTCTAGACATTTTTAGCTTTTCAAAAAATATTTTCCTGCTCATGTTTAGTTTTAGTTTAGCTTCGTCTTTTTCACCCACTTTCCCTATTTTTTTTTCCAAAACTTTTCTTGTTTTTCTTTAGCCATTTTGCCATATATTGCACTATATTTTAGCTGCTTGTATCAGTTTGTTTGGTCAACTTTTCTTTAGCGTATTTTATGCACTTTTGTTACATTTGATTAACATGTACAACTTTCACAGCTAACTTTATCTTTTGGTTGTTTTGTTTTTAGGTTTTGGCACTAACATCCAAGTTTTCATCAGGAGAGCCCTGGAGGTCAGTACATCACAGAGGCCTGGATGGGTTTTACAAAACGTGAAAGTAAGTCCTTCCTTTTTGCATTTAAAGGTCACGTTTCTTACATTTTTAAGGACACGTTGAAGTGAATGCGTACTCATTATACTACAGAACATTATCAGAACATTTGAGGTTTGAAAACTTCTGATCAGGTATGGACTCCTGGTGTCCTCAGAGGTGAAGGTCAGAGAGTGAAACCAAGGTCAAACCCTTGGTTTGAACTAAATCATCTTTAATGTGAAAGCAGGGCTGGAGTGTAGACGTGCTGCCTTCAGGGAACGTTTGAAATATTTATCACTTCTCCTCACGAAAGTGAACGGATTGATTTGAAACAACAGTAGACTCGTGACGTGGTTGGATAAATTCAGTGACTGCTTCATGAACACGGTCAGAGGTGTCGCCTTCGTTTTCCTTTCTCTCTGCCCTGACCTTCACATTCTCTTATTCTGCTTTTTCATCCTGGATCTGGAGAATCCCAGACACACACACACACACACACAGAAATCCTCCTCGTCTCCATAACTTTGCCCCCCTCCCTGTGCAGATCAAAGGCCCCTAAAATTGGATGTCCTGAAGATGTACATTGTTGAGATGACAGGGCGACAATGCAGTGAGAAAGCGTGGTCGATCAGACATGTCAGCCCACAGAAAGGCTGAGAGGAGCAGGGCAGAGGCCTGGGTGTGGATTTAATTTAATATGTTCCCAAAAAAGTGGTGGAATTTAGACTGCTGTCAGTTCAGATTGTCCTCCACAGAGAATCTTTTTTTTTTTAAAGTCTGATTATTTTTGACAAATAGTAACGCTCCGGTGTGACGTCATAGGAAGTTGCCTTGATATTTGTTGACCTAGTTTCTGAGGCCGCGGACGCGTCTTTTGCGCGTTGCAACCTGCTGCTGCGACAAAGAACTTAAACAGCTGAAAAGCATCCGAAGTGACTGGAGCCCAGACGTCCACAGAATCAATATTTGTATTCATTTGAGAAATGAGGATTTGAACAAGGGCACAAAAAAGCCCCGACAAAGGCGCAAGAAACAGGCATGAACCCGAGCATTGTCCCGGGCCTTTGAGATTCTGATTCACCATATCATAACCCCCGCGAGGAAAAAAACATCAATATCCCCGCGGAAAAAGACACGTTTCTATGGAAAAGCGAGGAATTTTAGCTCATAACAGAACTGGCCTCGGAAAAGCGGGGGGACATGTGAAAGGGATCAAAGCCCCAGTCAGCTCAAGGAGACTTTCTTTCTGTGAGCAGGAAGAAAAAAATAAAAAAGGACAATGTTGACTTTAAAGCGTTGGGGACCCGTTTTCTGCAGCTTAACAGTGGCATCAAAAGAACTTTACAAGAATATTCGTCACAGCAGTTCGGCCTGTGGCACAGTTCTTTGATTTGTTTCACGTTTTTGGCGACAGTTTGGTGCGTAAACGTCACCAAAGATTCACGTCGTCTCCGCACCGCTGTGCGTTAACGCACGGTTAAACGTCCGGGCGCACCCGCTCATTTGTGTTTGCACAAACGCCGTGGTGTAAAAACAGAAGTGATTCCACCTGGGGCAGAAATAAAGCCGTTCAGGCCTGAAAGAAGCTGCACGACGGCTGGAAATGTCTTCATTCTGAGGCGCATTTTCCTCCAAACGCCTTCTGTCCGACAGGCAGAGGCGACACTAAAGTAAACAGCACTAACAGGAGAGCCGTCTCTTTGTTATGACGGAGGCAGCTGCCCAGCCCTCCATTATCCCGGGGCAGACTGACCGCATCCTTCCCACTGGCCCTCACCAGCCCGGTGCACAAAGAGAGAGGGATGTTCTGCTTGCATGGGTAACACTGTCGTTCCAGCCCTGAGCGCTCCTCTTGCTCCCCATTGAAAGGAGTGGGAGTAGTGGACACAGCCTGATCCGCGCCGTACAAAGGCCCTCCACAGACTCCCAGCGGAGTGAAAGGAATGAAGGGGCTGGAAATTTGTGAAAGAGGGTCGGAGGATGTGGAGGGAGAGCGGAAGTTTTGTTGTTGTGCTTGATTTCCCTTCCTATCCGTGGATGGAGTGGAGGGTCCAGCCCACATGGTCCACGGTCTACTGAGGACAATTCACTCACTCACCTGTTTAGTACAGAATATACCAGAGTTTATGAATAATGATAATGAAGTTTGTTCAAAATCTGGTTCAGAGGCCCAGCTGTGGTTCAATTCTTTGCGGGATGTGAGGTGTTTTCAATTATTTTCACTTTTTTTTTACTAAATATACTTTTTAGTATTAAGTATTCCATGTGTTTTTCAAGTTTTTCATTTTACTAATTTGTTTATTAATTTGACATTTCTGGAGCCGGCCAATCAGAGCAGATACTTCATTAGTTTGATTGACTTCAGCCATTCTGACCAAAATGAATGTTTTTATTTTCATGTTACAAATGTTTTAATGAGAAGTAGAAATTGTTTTCCAAAGTCTGGTTCATGGACCCATCATGGTACTTTAAATATGATTTATTTTTCCTCTAAATTTATAAATATTTGAACTTTTTCTGTTTCCTTTTTGAGCTTGTTATTTTTATTTTTATTTTTTTACCTCTAATTCATTTTTTCTTACTATTGGCAAATTTAGTCTGGAGAATTTGGATAACACCCATGCAGAGCAGTTTTATTCTTTTACTTTTTGTCAAACTCTGAGGTTTAGCTGGACGAAATTGTCACTAATTTCCTAGCATTTAAAATATTTTTAAGTAATTTTTAGTGAACTCTATGGGCTAACGTTATCATCAAAGCTAATTTGTATTTAAATTAAATTCTTGTTATCATTCATATTTTACTGTTAGACATTTTGTGATGCTTAATTCTGTCAAACATTAGCTTAGCTTGTGTTAGCCATCTAAAAGTTTTATCTATATCTATTTGACTACATTTATCTGCCTTCTGTTTTTTTCTGTAATATTTAGTTCAGCTCTAGTCAATTCATGCTATTGCTATTTTTGCTAACTTCTACTTAAAATGTAAAACTTTGTTTTCTTCCAGTAGGTTTCGCTATTTTTTCTTTTGGTCCATTTGTAGGTACGTTTTCATCTGATTTCCTCAGATTCATTTAAACTTCACAAACCTCTCAGTAACAAAATTAGTCTTTCACACCTGGTCACAAACAAATTGGTTTTAATTAGCAGTACTGTGACATGATTGGATACAGTTTGAAGAATCAGATACTGAACGTGTTGCCTGGCAGGGCCGGGAGCGTGAGGCGGCTGCCGTGCCCTCAGGGGAGTCTCACGCTGGCAAGGTTTATGTGGACACACACGCACTTTCAACAGGGCTTGAATATGACCCTGTTGTTTCAGAATAGCCTCCTGATTTATGTCCATCAGGGTTTAGAGGCCTCGTCATGTCTGCTGAAATAGAGGTGTTGACAGCCACACTTGACAGCTCCTGCCTCACACTGTTTTAATGTTGGTGCTGTGGCACTGCTGTCTACGCAGCAGAGCCGCTCGGCGTCCAGCCATCGCAGGCTCAACAATAACGATACAATTTATGTGCTGCTAATGTTGGTGGCTGCGCATCAGCAGGTGGGAAAGTTTCAAACATTCCAACACAAGTGCTAACCTGCCACGCCAGATTAGTATTTGAAACCTTAATTTGACGAAAAATGAAAATACTTTTTTTTTTATTTCAACAGAATTCTTGTTCTTTAAGAAGAGTTTATGCAGAAGCATGACGTGGTCAAATATTTGGAATTTCAGAATAAAAAGTATTTTACTGATTTACAAGTTTTTCTTTTTTTGTGTTTATAAAGATTAATTTTGTCATCTTTTTTATTTCAGGTGACAGATCTGGACTGCAGGCAGGCCAGCCAAAAACCAACTAACAACTGCAGGGTGAGGGTGAGAGTGAGGTGAATAAATGCTGCTAGAACACGAGACTGAAATCCTCCTGAGAAATTCACACAGCCCCACAATCCTCTTTGAAGGCACATAGCATAGGTCACAGTGCAGACACCACACAGTCGGGATGGTTCATCCTCATCAACAGTTGTGAGGGCTGTGCAGCCCCACCCCCCCGCTCCCCCTCCTCCAGGCCAAAAGGAACACGCTCGGGATTTCTGGGGCTATAGTTAGCAAAAGGACAGCTCCTCTGGCTGACATCAGCACAGCCAGGTTTCTGATTGGTGGAGGAAAATGACAGGGAAACAAGATATGCAAAATAAAGTTAAAACCTAATTCATTAAAAAGAAAAACCTAAATGCCAAAGACTAATTGAAAAAGAGGTAACACTAACACAGGAATGGCTAAAAGTCAGGCCGTAAGAACTTGACTAAAAGTTAGCTTAATGTTTAGCTTTGGCCAAAAAGTCCTTTTGTTTTCTACTTTTCGGAAATGTCTGAGTGGAAATCTAATTCGACTATAGAATAAAAAAAAAGAAGAAACAAACAAACAGTGTTTGATGTGTTTGGGGTGTGTCTCCAAACCAGGTGGCGCTCCACTCAGATGCGTTCCATTTGGACTCACTTGTAAAAGCCACCCGTGTTCTAATTACATCGTATTGAGACGTGTCTTTCAGCTCTAGCATGTGCAGCGTGTAAAGCCCACGGCCGGTCGTATGTCAACCTGCTTTTGTTTGACATTTACACACAACTCTGGTCTTGTGTAATTACCAGCTTACTGTTCTGTCAAATACTTAATGCCTTGTAAAACAGCCGGCCATTTATAATGTACAGTGAGCGGTGCCGAAGACAGGAAGAGGCTAATCCTCGACATGTGCTCGGCTAACGTGGTTATGGCTGCAGGTTTCACACGCCAGCAGACACCAATAAGTCATCGCACGTAGTTTGGATGCAGAAAAAAAACAAACAAAAAAAAAAACACCTCAGCACAAAAAAACACACCCAAAAAAAAAATAAAAATCCTCTGGCTGTAATAAAATACTGCATCAGGAAGGGTGGGTCTTTTTCTTACCATCCTCAGAACATTTTGGACATTTTACTTTCCACTGACGTGGATGTTTTCAGGCACATTACTAATGTAAGGTATTTCAACACCTTCTGAACACCTTACTATCGCATTAAACCGTGTCATAATAAATGAATGTGTTTCATAATGTCTTTAAAAAAGAAAAGAAAAACAACATTTTAACAATCACTCATTCAATTAATTTTTTTACTTTTCAGAAACTTCTGTCTGTGAATTGCTGCCGTCGTCTGTGGTGTCATCAGTTGATCTCTGGTTGATAACCCGCCCCATCGAACACCCTGAAGTTAACCATGAAGAAACACACGGAGGTCAAACCTCTCAGTAACAAAATTAGTCTTTCACACCTGGTCACAAACAAATTGGTTTTAATTAGCAGTACTGTGACATGATTGGATACAGTTTGAAGAATCAGATACTGAACGTGTTGCCTGGCAGGGCCGGGAGCGTGAGGCGGCTGCCGTGCCCTCAGGGGAGTCTCACGCTGGCAAGGTTTATGTGGACACACACGCACTTTCAACAGGGCTTGAATATGACCCTGTTGTTTCAGAATAGCCTCCTGATTTATGTCCATCAGGGTTTAGAGGCCTCGTCATGTCTGCTGAAATAGAGGTGTTGACAGCCACACTTGACAGCTCCTGCCTCACACTGTTTTAATGTTGGTGCTGTGGCACTGCTGTCTACGCAGCAGAGCCGCTCGGCGTCCAGCCATCGCAGGCTCAACAATAACGATACAATTTATGTGCTGCTAATGTTGGTGGCTGCGCATCAGCAGGTGGGAAAGTTTCAAACATTCCAACACAAGTGCTAACCTGCCACGCCAGATTAGTATTTGAAACCTTAATTTGACGAAAAATGAAAATACTTTTTTTTTTATTTCAACAGAATTCTTGTTCTTTAAGAAGAGTTTATGCAGAAGCATGACGTGGTCAAATATTTGGAATTTCAGAATAAAAAGTATTTTACTGATTTACAAGTTTTTCTTTTTTTGTGTTTATAAAGATTAATTTTGTCATCTTTTTTATTTCAGGTGACAGATCTGGACTGCAGGCAGGCCAGCCAAAAACCAACTAACAACTGCAGGGTGAGGGTGAGAGTGAGGTGAATAAATGCTGCTAGAACACGAGACTGAAATCCTCCTGAGAAATTCACACAGCCCCACAATCCTCTTTGAAGGCACATAGCATAGGTCACAGTGCAGACACCACACAGTCGGGATGGTTCATCCTCATCAACAGTTGTGAGGGCTGTGCAGCCCCACCCCCCCGCTCCCCCTCCTCCAGGCCAAAAGGAACACGCTCGGGATTTCTGGGGCTATAGTTAGCAAAAGGACAGCTCCTCTGGCTGACATCAGCACAGCCAGGTTTCTGATTGGTGGAGGAAAATGACAGGGAAACAAGATATGCAAAATAAAGTTAAAACCTAATTCATTAAAAAGAAAAACCTAAATGCCAAAGACTAATTGAAAAAGAGGTAACACTAACACAGGAATGGCTAAAAGTCAGGCCGTAAGAACTTGACTAAAAGTTAGCTTAATGTTTAGCTTTGGCCAAAAAGTCCTTTTGTTTTCTACTTTTCGGAAATGTCTGAGTGGAAATCTAATTCGACTATAGAATAAAAAAAAAGAAGAAACAAACAAACAGTGTTTGATGTGTTTGGGGTGTGTCTCCAAACCAGGTGGCGCTCCACTCAGATGCGTTCCATTTGGACTCACTTGTAAAAGCCACCCGTGTTCTAATTACATCGTATTGAGACGTGTCTTTCAGCTCTAGCATGTGCAGCGTGTAAAGCCCACGGCCGGTCGTATGTCAACCTGCTTTTGTTTGACATTTACACACAACTCTGGTCTTGTGTAATTACCAGCTTACTGTTCTGTCAAATACTTAATGCCTTGTAAAACAGCCGGCCATTTATAATGTACAGTGAGCGGTGCCGAAGACAGGAAGAGGCTAATCCTCGACATGTGCTCGGCTAACGTGGTTATGGCTGCAGGTTTCACACGCCAGCAGACACCAATAAGTCATCGCACGTAGTTTGGATGCAGAAAAAAAACAAACAAAAAAAAAAACACCTCAGCACAAAAAAACACACCCAAAAAAAAAATAAAAATCCTCTGGCTGTAATAAAATACTGCATCAGGAAGGGTGGGTCTTTTTCTTACCATCCTCAGAACATTTTGGACATTTTACTTTCCACTGACGTGGATGTTTTCAGGCACATTACTAATGTAAGGTATTTCAACACCTTCTGAACACCTTACTATCGCATTAAACCGTGTCATAATAAATGAATGTGTTTCATAATGTCTTTAAAAAAGAAAAGAAAAACAACATTTTAACAATCACTCATTCAATTAATTTTTTTACTTTTCAGAAACTTCTGTCTGTGAATTGCTGCCGTCGTCTGTGGTGTCATCAGTTGATCTCTGGTTGATAACCCGCCCCATCGAACACCCTGAAGTTAACCATGAAGAAACACACGGAGGTGTTCGCCCGTCCTGCAGATCCTCCAACTACTCCACTCTGAACATATCAGCTGCCTGGACAAAACCAAGTTCTGACGGTGAGAAGGAACCACTGTCAGCCCTTTCTTTCAATGCAAACATGTGGACATCTTCATATAAAACACCACAAGGACATGTTTGTGTGTTTAACTTGACAACATATTAGCACTGTGGATTAGTGACATATCTCTAAAGATTTCTGTTGTGAAAATCCAAGTGAAAATGTGTTCACAGGACATCACAGTACCTACATAAAAATAGTTAAAAACATGTATCAATTAACAATTAAAATAAAATGATCTAATGTGACTAAAAACACATTTGTTTTTAATACAAAAACACATTTTTTTTTAATACAAAAAACTCAAAAGGGTAGCATAGAAATAGTCATAAGACATAATACAAAAACTATTAGTATATTACGACTACTTGTAATATGTTTTTCAGCACCAGATGAAGAAAAAAAAAATCATTTTTCTGAATTTGATATTGCTCATAGCAACGTTTTTTGAGAAATTATTGAATTTTATTTTTGGAAATATTTAGTATTTTAATTTTCAGACTCCTCCAGGCCAAAAGGAACACGCTCGGGATTTCTGGGGCTATAGTTAGCAAAAGGACAGCTCCTCTGGCTGACATCAGCACAGCCAGGTTTCTGATTGGTGGAGGAAAATGACAGGGAAACAAGATATGCAAAATAAAGTTAAAACCTAATTCATTAAAAAGAAAAACCTAAATGCCAAAGACTAATTGAAAAAGAGGTAACACTAACACAGGAATGGCTAAAAGTCAGGCCGTAAGAACTTGACTAAAAGTTAGCTTAATGTTTAGCTTTGGCCAAAAAGTCCTTTTGTTTTCTACTTTTCGGAAATGTCTGAGTGGAAATCTAATTCGACTATAGAATAAAAAAAAGAAGAAACAAACAAACAGTGTTTGATGTGTTTGGGGTGTGTCTCCAAACCAGGTGGCGCTCCACTCAGATGCGTTCCACTTGGACTCACTTGTAAAAGCCACCCGTGTTCTAATTACATCGTATTGAGACGTGTCTTTCAGCTCTAGCATGTGCAGCGTGTAAAGCCCACGGCCGGTCGTATGTCAACCTGCTTTTGTTTGACATTTACACACAACTCTGGTCTTGTGTAATTACCAGCTTACTGTTCTGTCAAATACTTAATGCCTTGTAAAACAGCCGGCCATTTATAATGTACAGTGAGCGGTGCCGAAGACAGGAAGAGGCTAATCCTCGACATGTGCTCGGCTAACGTGGTTATGGCTGCAGGTTTCACACGCCAGCAGACACCAATAAGTCATCGCACGTAGTTTGGATGCAGAAAAAAAACAAACAAAAAAAAAAACACCTCAGCACAAAAAAACACACCCCAAAAAAAAAAAAAAAAATCCTCTGGCTGTAATAAAATGATGCATCAGGAAGGGTGGGTCTTTTTCTTACCATCCTCAGAACATTTTGGACATTTTACTTTCCACTGACGTGGATGTTTTCAGGCACATTACTAATGTAAGGTATTTCAACACCTTCTGAACACCTTACTATCGCATTAAACCGTGTCATAATAAATGAATGTGTTTCATAATGTCTTTAAAAAAGAAAAGAAAAACAACATTTTAACAATCACTCATTCAATTAATTTTTTTACTTTTCAGAAACTTCTGTCTGTGAATTGCTGCCGTCGTCTGTGGTGTCATCAGTTGATCTCTGGTTGATAACCCGCCCCATCGAACACCCTGAAGTTAACCATGAAGAAACACACGGAGGTGTTCGCCCGTCCTGCAGATCCTCCAACTACTCCACTCTGAACATATCAGCTGCCTGGACAAAACCAAGTTCTGACGGTGAGAAGGAACCACTGTCAGCCCTTTCTTTCAATGCAAACATGTGGACATCTTCATATAAAACACCACAAGGACATGTTTGTGTGTTTAACTTGACAACATATTAGCACTGTGGATTAGTGACATATCTCTAAAGATTTCTGTTGTGAAAATCCAAGTGAAAATGTGTTCACAGGACATCACAGTACCTACATAAAAATAGTTAAAAACATGTATCAATTAACAATTAAAATAAAATGATCTAATGTGACTAAAAACACATTTGTTTTTAATACAAAAACACATTTTTTTTTAATACAAAAAACTCAAAAGGGTAGCATAGAAATAGTCATAAGACATAATACAAAAACTATTAGTATATTACGACTACTTGTAATATGTTTTTCAGCACCAGATGAAGAAAAAAAAAATCATTTTTCTGAATTTGATATTGCTCATAGCAACGTTTTTTGAGAAATTATTGAATTTTATTTTTGGAAATATTTAGTATTTTAATTTTCAGAATATTACTAGGATAATAAGTATGTTGTGAAACAAGTTTCACTTACCAAAAAAGTATATTTTTTTCTGAATTTTAACCACAAAAATGGACATAGCATAGATTTTAGGGCAAATGACTGCAGTTTTAGTCATTTTTGAGAAAATCTTATTTTCGGAGATTTGTTCAGGAACTTATTGGTATAATATTTTACTGTGATCAAAAGTTGGCGAACCAAAAAAGTATATTATATATGGAGTTTTAAACACAAAATAATCA